TGTTTTTTGCTTTTTTGTTTTGTTTCGCTATTTTTTGTTTTGTTTTATGTTTTGTTTTACAGTTTGTTTTTTTTGCTTTTTTGTTGTGTTGTTTCGCTGTTTTTTGCTTTTTTGTTTTGCTGTCTTTGTTGTGTTTTTTTCTGTTGTTGTTGCTGTTTTGTTTGAGCCACTGCTTTGATTAAAGGCATAAAAGACATTTTCTGCAGCTTAATTATTGCAACTGTAAATCATGTCTTTCAGTCTTTGGATAAAGTCATCATGGAGATGAGCACCTGTGACGAGCCTCGCCCTCCCAACGGCCCGTCACCCATTGCAACAGCCTCGGGTCAAAGGTCAGTTTCAGTTGATCAGCTTTATCTGCCTTGATTTGTATCTCTCCTCTGCTGCTTCCAGTTTTTAATGGTTCCTTCTGTCATGGAAAACCTGGAGGTATATAAAATGTGCCTTGAAAAGCCATGGAAAAGATTATTGCTTTTTGTATTTGTTTTTGTTTGTTTGTTTGTTGTGAGAGCTAGATATTGCTTTTTGGCGAACTTGCTCGCAAGCCTAATATTATATATTTATTTTTAATCTTATTCTCTCTTTGCCAGTGAATATGGTTTTGCGGAGAAGGTTGTGGAGGGCATCGCCCTCTCTGTGAACTCCATAGTTATCCGCATCAGCGCCAAAGCCTTTAACGCCTCCTTCGAGCTCTCGCAGCTCCAGGTCTACAGTGTTAACACCAGCTGGGCCACTGGTGACCTCCGATACACACGCATCCTGGACCCCACACGTGGAGAGGTGACGAGAGATACCTATGGTGTTGTGGAGTCTATGAGGTATGTGTTTATATGTTAACACCATGATTTGTTTTAGATCCTAACATTTAAGGAAGTGAGCTGGCAGATGATCAGGATTGAAGCAGACGCCATCCAGAACACAGAACATGAGGTTGTCAGCGCCCCCATACGCCTCATCACCAACCAGTCAAAGATCAGAGTCTCTTTAAAGAGGAGGGTAAGGATGCACACATGCTCCTTTCACGCCCTCAAATAGAAGCATATGGTTAAATGTTCAAAATTAGATCCAAACTGTGAATTTTTGGATCACTGTACTAGCATGTGTATTTTTGAGAGTGTGTGTAGCACTCATTCTTCTGCGGATCAGCTCTGAGCTCTGCGGGCAGCCGGGATACATTTCTCTGTTGGTAGTCTGAATATTGGCAGCTGATTAGAGGGTTTTATTTTGGTAGCATCCAGGCCTCACATAAAAACAAATGCAAACAAACTCTGTACATTTAGTACAGTCAAATTATGCAAGATTAAATGAAATGCAGTAGGGAGCATATTGAAAATCTGGGCTTTAAGTTACTTCATAAACCTGGAAAAAATTTGTTTAAAAAAATGAAGTCAATAAAACATCATGATGTAACAGTAAGAGGAATATTGAAGATTCTAAACTGTTAAAAATAAAATTAAAATAAACAATATAAAGCTTGAATGCTGGTGTCATTAAACCAAAAAACAAATATTAAGACATTAAACAATATAATACAGACATACAACAATATAATATATAGAGCATAAATACAATTGTTCAAAAGTTTGGGGTCTCTTTTTTACTACTATTACTATTTTTATTCATTATTTACTGTCAGTTAAGACAAGTTAAAAAAAGATAAAATTTTTTTGAACATTATAATCCTGAAAACAAAATGTATCACGGTTTCCACAAAAAGATTAAGCAGCACAATTGTTTTCAGATTTAATAATAATATGTTTCTTGAGCACCAAATCAGGATATAAGAATGATTTTTAAAAGATCATGTGACACTGAAGACTAGAGTAATGGTGCAGAAAGCTCGGCTTTGCCATCGCAGGAATACATTTTATTTTAAAATGTATTAAAATTTAAAACAGTTATTTAAAATTGCATTAATGTTTCACTGTATTATGGTCTTGGCGAGCTAAAGAGACTTCTTTAAAAAACATTACTTATGATTACTTGTGTGAGATCCCACAGTATGTGCCTCACGGCTGTATGTCCATGCTTTTTCCAGATAAAAGACTGTAATGTTATTGCATCAAAGCTGATTCTGATCCTGGATGACCTGCTGTGGGTGCTGACGGACTCTCAGCTCAAGGCCATGGTGCAGTATGCTAAGTCTCTTAGTGAAGCCATGGAGAAATCAGCCGCGCAGAGGAAGAGCATGGCCCCCGACACCACACAGGTGTGTGTTTCATGCCACTTCCTCGTCCCCTTCACTAATCAACCACACCACCTGTTTGACTACCTCTTTTTTTAAATTTTGCTTTCTATTCTCAAAATAGTATTTTAGTGCCCCCTACTGGTTGTACATTTTAGTCCAAGAATTTACATTGGTGATGTGCCAAATTTTTGGTGTGTTTAGGTAACACCGGCGCCCCCCTCAGCCCAGCAGGTGCGCACACAGCAGGCTTCAGCCACAGCAGATCAGACCGCTTCTATGGCACGGCTGTTTAACGCCTATGATGTTCGTGAGACCTCACACCACCTTCAAATCACACATCTCGACCTGCATATCTGTGACGACACCAATGCCAAGGACAGAGGTACCACATATGCACACATAATACTGTTAACACCAAAGTGTGTTATAGAGTTTGGTGTTTAGCTGAAATATGTCTTTTTCACTCTGCAGGAATTAATAAGAGATTTGATGGTGGTGCAATGCAGTTGTCCTTCAACTCTATCAGCGTAGATTATTATCCCTACCACAAAGCTGGTAAACTCCTCAAACACATTAGATTCTTACTGTAATAACCTGTTAAACAAGAAGATGTTCTGATTATGAAAACATCATTCTTTCTCTCTCTCAGGTGAGACCTGTATGCACTGGATGCATTACGGTGAGGCCACAAAGTCTCGTGAGACCTGGGCCCGTTCTCTCCTGGATGAGTTTAAGTCTAATTTGGAAATGCTCAAAAATGCAGTCAGTGGCCAGACCCAGAGCTCCCCTCAGCACGGTGAGAACGTCCTGCCCATTAACACACCTTGATTGGCTGATTTCATCTCATTGTAACTGAAAAACAGAAAATGGATGAATTTCATGCAACCTATCGAGAACATGTCTGGATCATATTTGACCCCAAAATCAAAAGAAATAAATAAGAACTTTTGACATTATTTTCATGACTATTAAACCCATTTTCCCATATTACACACACACACACACACACACATATATATATATATATACATACACACAGTATCGTAGTACTGATGTATTGCTTTGAATTTGTGCTGGCATTATATTCATATTATTATTCATATAAAGGGATGCATTATGGTAATTAGAAGTTGTGTGCAAAATGGCATGAAAATAACGCAAAAATCAGTTTCATTAATTCATTTTTTTATTTGTTTGTTCATTTATTTTTAGGGGGGGATTTTGGGGTCAAATGTGATCCGGACACTGGTTATTTAATTGACAACTATTAATTATAGATCTGGATATCTGCTCATCCAAACAATCAATATAGCAAGAATTTGTGACACTCTATTTTAAGGGCTCTTCACAAAGACACTTTCAGATGACACTGACTGCACAGTTATGGGTTGTAGTTCTGTTCATGGCTAACAAGAGGTTTTCCATGTGGCCACTGAAAGCATAGCAGAGTCTTTGTATAAGGGTCTTTAGCTAAAGTGATACAGTTTTTAGCTCAATAGCATAGTATGGCTAATATTTATATTATATGAGTATATTATGATCATGGATATAATTTAGAATGTGTTGTGGCCATTAAGTGTATCCTGGTAGCAGCTAACACCTGTCCTAGTTTGAGAGGTTTTTTGCGTAATGGGTTCTGTGTCCCCAGTCCATCAGTCGATTGTTTTAGAGGCGAAGGGTGGAGGGATAATGGTTAGGGAGCTGGACTCAGGCCCAGATGGCTTGTGGCCGCTCTCCCCCACGGCCAACTGCTGCTGGTGTCTGGAGACAGGTACCTCTCTGGTGTGCGTTTGAGGTGCCTCACAAACACATGGCTGTGGTTTGTGCAGATGGTCCACTGTGTTTTTGATATCTGAGTTTATGTGTTTCCTACAGGAAAGATCTCCACCAGCTCCAGCACTTCCTTCTCGCCCCCACCTGCACCGAGAACCCAACTCATGTCCAGCTCAATTGTGCTACGGATGGCAGATTTCAGCATCTATCAGGTTTGTATGGAAGAATACACATACAATATTTAGTTGTTTCAAATTCAAATGTGTTTCATCAAGATGCATCAGTGCTGTCATCATTGACTGAGTAAATGATGAAATATTTATTAATAAGTCACCCTTTAAATGTTGATTGTTATGCTGTGTTGAAGGTGTCTACAGCAGACCAGTCACGCTCAAGTCCTCAAAGCATGATCTCCTGCAATAAGAAAGCCCTCTACCTCCCCCAAGAGATGCCGGCTATCCACGCTGAATTCACAGAGTACTACTTCCCAGATGACAAAGACTATCCTAGTAAGACAGAAGTGACAACCTCCATCATAAAAGCTGACAAAATCAGAATAGTCACTTAATATCTCAGTTCAACTCAAGCATTCCATGAATTGACATGAATAAACTCTCTCTGCAGTCCCTTGTCCCAACCTGTATGTGCAGTTAAACGCGCTACAGCTGGTGCTTGACTCTCGCAGTCTGATTTGGCTCAATCTGTTTGCGCTGGACCTTCGTCAGAGCTTAGAACAATTTATGGAGCTGTACAAACTCAATGACTCACAGAAACCTGACGAGCATGTAGATATCAGAGTGGATGGACTCATGCTGAAGGTAGTTCTTACTTACATTGACTTAAACTGCACAGTTTAGCTTCATCTCTAATCAAATGGCTCGTTTCCACTGAGCAGTACGGGTCAGTACAGTACAGTATGGTATGATCCGGGACGGTACACCTTGATGGGGCTTGTTTCCACTGCCAACAGTACCCTTACTTGATAGACGTGGTGTATGCCAGAAAGTAGTGATGGAAGTCATTCTCGTGCTAAGAAAAAAGCGTGACATTTTCTGTGTATGTGTGTGAAAATATAAAACTATAAAATACACTGTTATATTTTTGTTTGCGCACTCTGATGTAAACAAGCCCAACACACATAAGCATCGAGGAACGAGTGAAGGAGATGCTTCATTCCCCTTGTGTTGTCATTCCCCTTGTAGCACACACAAGTGACTATTCTCTGTCAACCAATCAGCATTCTGCAGTTAGTCTAGCTCCACCCTTTAGGTACCGAACTACTGTGCTAGGTACCCCAACGGAAGGGTCCCAAAAAAGTAGTACGGTACAGTTAGCTATTTTGGTACCATTCACAATGTCTAACAATGGAAACGGACAGAATTGCACACCGTACAGTACTGAACCGTACCGCTTAGTGGAAACGAGCCAAAAGACACCTGAGCAAGGTATGTCTTCAAAATTACTAGAAATTACAAGTGAGTTTGATCAGAGTTTAAGCTAAACTCTGCAGGGCAGTGGCCCTCCAGGTCCGGATTTGAAGAACCTTATTTTATTAAATTATTGTATTATAATTTAATATAAAACTCTATGTTTGCATGTTTGTAGCTGGTGATCCCTGCAGACCAGAAGAAGACTCAGCCTGACCAGCCCTGCTCAGTTTCAGTACAGACCTCAGAGATGGTAGCCACTAACACACGTCACTCTTCTGGATGTACTCGGTCCAGTCTGGAAGCCCTCTTGCAGGGATTCCAGGAACAACCCTTCTTCACCTCTCTCTCTTCGTCTTTTCCTCGCTCCCAAAACTCCTTCTCTGTGCTGCATTCTGTCTTCCAGCGGCATGCTCATGAGCAGGACACACGCATTCATGATGTGTACCGGGGCCTTGCTCCACCATCTCTCTCCACCAATGCCCTCAAAACACCAGCAGCCACTGACTTGTGGGCAGTGCATTTTTCCCAGTTCTGGGTGGACTATGAGGGCTCATGCAGTGGGCGAGGTCGTCCGACACCTTGTGTGGACTCCTTCCCTCTGACACTTTGGGTATGCCACCCTGCCCGATACACTCAGCACCATGAGAGGCTCAGAGCAGGCGTAGGGTCAGGCCTGTTGCCTCGCAGTGAGTCAGCAGAGATAGCCAGTCGTCTGCAGAGGAAGAAGCTTCTAAAGGAGTACTACAGCACTCATGCATCTCCCAGCATCATGCCAAGTAATGGCCTCCACAAACCACACTCTCTGGATGGCCTATTCAGCGACTCCTCTTCGTCTCTTTCCCTTGCTTCCTCATCCTCGTCCAGTGAAGTAGACTTACAGGTGCTAGTGCACGTTCAGAAGCACCTGAGTGCTCAGGTGAGCCATGGGCAGTATGTGTTCCTGCTCAGACTGCAAAATGCTGTGAAATCTCTGCAGCGCACTTTACAGCAAGATCTGGAGCAGTACGGCTCCAAGCGCCAGGGTCCCACGCAACCCTTCAGTGCTTGCGTGGGCGTGCTCATGAAAAGTGCAGAAGTTGCTCTACTCCTAAAACCTATTCCCCAACCAGATTTAAACACCAGCCCCCTGGACTCAGACGTATCCCCTTCAGAAAGCAGGGCCACTCTTGAAGCCGGGAGTGAGGTGAGCGAGGGGCACGAGAGGCCCTCGGCTGCAGGAGAGGGTACTCAAAACGCGGATCAGCTCCTTTGTGCAGGGACACATGCCATCAACGCATCTCCTCTCCTTCCTTCCCTATCTCCTGCTCTGAGAAAGGCGTCTGTGGATGAGAGAAGTAGTGTGGTATCTGGAGGGAGGGTGCCATCTGAGGAGAAGAAGGATTTGAGAGAAGGATCTCCCAGTGGGGAGGGCAACAGAACTGAAGCCAAAGGGCAGCAGAGTGAAACCTCACAAGGTGGACCCATGGTAGTAGATCCCATGTCTGACAATTCCTCCAGGGAATGGAACTACCAGAGTCAGGGAGGCAGGCTACCTCAGTCCATGTCCAGGTATTACTGTTTGTGTATTTAGAACACAACTGTCCAGTCTTTCCTGCTTTGTTTTTGGAAATTGATTGTGCAAGTAGAGCTGCATAGCCCTGTCTCAAATGCTGACATAAGCTTTTGCGGTCCACCTTAGAGTACACACTTTGGTACAAATGGGACCCTGCTCCTAGAGGGCTACCTTGCTGCAAACTTCAGTTCCAACCCTTTTCCATGGCACTGGCCTGTAATGTTTAAGTCATGATGAACACCTAGCTGGTTCAGGAGTATTTGATTAGGGTTGGAGCTAAACGCTGCAAGAAGATAGCCCTCTAGGAGCAGGGTTAGCTACCCTTGGACTAGATGAGGGATGGGAAACTTTGGTCCTGCAGAGTTTAGTTCCAATCCTGATGAAAACTTGCCTCCCTCTAGTATTCTTGTTACCATAAAAGCATTGATTAACTTTTTCAGGTGTGTTTAATTAGGGTTTTAGCGAAACTCTGCAGGGCCGAGTTGCCAATTCCTGGACTAGTTAGTAACCCATGAAACCCTTTGAATTTCACCCTAACCCAGTCTAGACCTGGAAGGACACCTTCCTGCAGAATTAGTTCCAACCCTAATTAAACACACCTGAACCTGTTAATCAAGGTCTTTAGAATTACTAGAAATTGAGGCAGTTGTATTAAAAAAGGTTGGAGCTAAACTCTGCTGGAAGGTATACCTCCAGGAGCAGGACACCCCTTCCCTAAACATAACCTTAAACCTTGGTAGAAGCAAGACTTGCTATCCAGCCCAAGATATCCACTGTCCTGCAGCGTTACTTTAGCTCCAACTTTAATTGTAATTTTTAGAAGTAATCCTGAAGACTTTGGTTCGATTTTTCAGGTGAATTTGATTAAAGGAATAGTTCACCCAAAAATTTAAAATCTGGCATTAATTACTCACCTTCATGTCGTCCCAAAGCCACAACACTTTTGTTCATCTTCAGAACACAAATTAAAGTATTTTTGATGATATCCAAGAGCTTCCTGACCCTCCTTAGACAGCAATGCAACTGATATGTTCAAGGCCAAGAAAGGTAGTAAGAACATTGTTAAAATAGTCCCTGTGACATCAATGGTTCAGTTGTAATGTTATGAAGCCATGAGGATACTTTTTGTGTGCAAAGTTAATTTTTAGAAGTAATCCTGAAGACTTTGGTTCGATTTTTCAGGTGAATTTGATTAAAGGAATAGTTCACCCAAAAATTTAAAATCTGTCATTAATTACTCACCTTCATGTCGTCCCAAAGCCACAACACTTTTGTTCATCTTCAGAACACAAATTAAAGTATTTTTGATGATATCCAAGAGCTTCCTGACCCTCCTTAGACAGCAATGCAACTGATATGTTCAAGGCCAAGAAAGGTAGTAAGAACATTGTTAAAATAGTCCGTGACATCAATGGTTCAGTTGTAATGTTATGAAGCCATGAGGATACTTTTTGTGTGCAAAGAAAACAAAAATAATGACTTAATAATGTCAAGAATTTATTTTCTTTCTTGTTAGTTTTCGACGTGCGTTCACCACAGTACTACTGGTGCACTTTTCACCAGTGGGTGTAGAAGAGAAAATGTTATAACTGAATGTAGATGGGATTGATGCAGAAATAATGCCATTGATTGTTATGAGATTATGCGTGTGTCTATTTGGGAGTAAAACCCAATGCACAACTGCTTCCTTGCTCTGAGTGTGACCTCTGGGTGTGTGTGTTTGTTCAATCTCTCTTCTAAAGGAAAGGCAGTTTATCAGTGGTCTCTGACCTCTTAACTTCCACGAACAGCAGGTCTACCTCCTTATATTCCATGTCCAACATGTAAGACACCCTCTTTAGGACTCTGTGCCCATCTGTGTATGCGTGAATGTTTGTGGAGAAAACTGTGGTATCGTGTTTGTGATCATTTCACACTAGCTTGTCCTTCGTTGTGTTATGTGTAGGACTGTGGACGTGCGCAGAGTTTGCCGACTCTGTCTCTGACTGGTGTTTTGATTTTGCCAAAAATGTTTTGCCATTGTTTTTTTTCTTCCTAGTATCATTTATGTAGGTACTAACATGCTCATCCACTCTGATGCTCACCGTTTTCTACTTTTTGTGCATGTACTTTGCAGTGGTCGTTTGATTCAGGGCAAGTCGCAGTCGAGTTTCTCAGTGTCCTTTTCTAAGGTCATGAAGAAAAGCCCTTCGCTACAGTCTCTGGATGATCTCTCCATAGACAGTTACTCACTAGAGGATTGTGACAGCTACAGCCTGCTGGAGAGAGGTACATGAGGTTTTCTTTTTATAACAGCGCTGTATTAGATTTGTGACCACAAGGGGGAAGTATCGTAACATCTATCTTTTTGTGCTATTTTTGTTCCATTGATGGAGCAATGCTGAAAATTTCTTGATAACCAGAAATTAATTCAGATTTTTCCATTTAGCACAGGCTAGACATCAGGCTCAAATGTGATGGGTTATGCTACTCACTATGACTCTGGATATGCTGTTACACTCTCTTGTTCTTACCAAATAATACACAAACGTTTTTTGTTACAGATGACGTATCAATCTCTGGTTTTAAGGAGGTTCTAAATGAACAGTTTTCCACAGAAGGGACTAATGTGACTCTAGCTCAGGAGGCAGATGAGGCCCAGTCACCTGACGCCATCAGCGCTGCCTCACAGAGCATAGATGAACCCACGAAAGACCTTGTAATAAACCCCTTTTATTTATTCTTTCATTCCCCTTTTTATATCATGCTCAACTTGGTTGCTGAACGTTAACTTTTTCTCTTCTCCTGAATGAAAACAATGTGATGATGCATCTATTAGTATCTATGTATAAAATATCTGTATTACATGCATTTGCAGGTGTCGGTGCTGGTTTTGAAGATTCACTCGGTCTGCTGTACTCTGGATCTGAAGGGTGATGATACAGCAGTTGCTCTGGAAGTAGGACGGATCCGACCCAACCAGCTCGGCAACGTCAGTTTGCGGCAGTATCTTAGCAACCGCAGCCTGGGTAAGACTGATTGACACCTGTGGTTGTTTTTGTGTGTGTGTGTGTGCAAGTGTTGCTGTTACACCTGATAAATACTTGCTGTTTGCGTTTCTTCAGGTTTAGTGTCTACAGCATCAGTAGCTCAAAGTGGTGAAGGTACTTTAAGTGTGTATCTTCATATGTTTGCATAGTGTGTGTGTGTGTGTGTGTTTGTGAGTGTAGATTCTGTCTGAGTTTGCATGAGTCTGAGTTGTGTGTGTTGTGTGATCACTCTTTCACCACTTTTTGTGTTTAGCGAGAAAACTACTGTTCAAAAGTTTGGGTTCTGTATGTTTTTTTTGTTTTTTTTAAACAGCCTCTCTATGCTCACCTAAGCTGCATTTACAGCATTTAATCAAAGTATACAGTAAAATAGAAATATTGTGAAATATTACAGTTTAAAATGACTTCTTTCTATTATTTCTTTATTTTATATATATATATATATATATATATATATATAGTCCTGTGATAGCAAAGCAAACATTTCGGCAGCCATTACTCCAGTCTTCAGTGTCACATGATCTTTTAGAAATCTTTCTAATATGCTGATTTGGTGCTCAAGGAAGATTTGTTTTATTACTATCGGTGTTGAAAACAGCTGTGCTGCTTAATATTTTAGTGAAAACCATGATGCACTTTTTTCAGGATTCTTCAAGCGATTCAATAGAACAGCCTTTATTTGTACATTTATTGTTTTTTTATGTTGAAAATGTTTTACTGTCACTTTTGATCAATTTAATGCACCCTTTCTGAAAAGAAAGTATTAATTGCTTTCAAAAAAATTAAATAAAATTACTGACCTCAAACTTTTGAATGCTAGCCTACTGATTTATTTTTATAAACGACCAGTCGGTGGTTGTGTTCGTCAGTAGAGAAAGATGCTAATAGCCTAATAGCTAAAGCATCTATCATAGATAGAAACTATCATAGCCCTCACTAAAATGAGTCTTACTGACTATTTATAATAATGTGAACATTATTAGTGTTAATGAATTTGATTCAGTCCAACAATAATTCTCCTGCTTATTAGTGAGAGTGCTGTATTTGTTACACAGTCAGTGCATTGATGGCTTATAGTAACAGTACTTAATTTAGATGCTTTTTTAATATCAACATGTAAAATTTAGCTTCAGTGCTTTTAGTAGCAATGTTTTAAAGGGGTGTTTTAGAGAAGCAGCTTATTGGAAAGAGTTTGTTTGACTGTCTGTTTGACAGTCTAACAATATGCAAAAGCACAACACGTTTTCAACGCACAGCAGTCCTCTCTGAGAATTTGTGCTTCTGATATGAACCCCTTTAAAGCACCTTGGCTGAAAACATTTAGTCAGTTGGTGGACGAGTATGCAAATAAGAGTTTTTTTTTGAAGCAGTATGGTAGGGTTGTGTGTGCTGTTATATGAATTGTAATAGAGCATTTATCTCGTTCACTGGTCCCTATTCTTCGCTTTCCTCCTCTCTCTCTCCTATAGCTGCTTTGGTATTGTGTTGTCGTTTCTCTACTGTCACAGACCACTGGGTTCTGCAGTAGCAGAACTGCTGGTTCAGGAGACTTTGTACACACATAAACACACACATACAGCCTCTCATCTATCTGGGCTGTTTCAGAGCACTGCCTCTTTCCTCTCCAAGGATTCATCTCTAGGCTTTTCTCTGATCAGTTTCTCTTGACTGATTCTGCTTGCCTCTGTTTTTCCAGTCTGTTTCTCTGTTTCTGCTCCCATGTTCTCTATTTTCAGTTATTCTCACTTATTCACTTTTTCCTCCTGCAGTATTTTTCTTCAGTATCTTCGCTAGGGAGAAAAAGTGCTGCATTTGCTTGTTTTATTCACAACTGTTCAAGGATTAATCAAGAAGTTCAGTCAGGAATGACAGGAATACCAGTGATCAGATCGCCAAACCGTAAGACCTTTGTTCATCTTCGGAAATCTGAGAGCTTTCTGACCAGGAATAGACAGCAACACAACTGACACGTTCAAGGCCCAGAAAGGTAGTAAAGACGTTGATAAAAATGTCCATTTGACATCAGTGGTTCAGCCGAAATGTTATGAAGCTACAAGAATATTTATTGTGCCTGTTGTGATACTCTCGTGAACGTGCATCAAAGACTGACAAATTGTTGAATAAAGTCTTTATTTTAGTTTTCTTTGCTCAAAAAAAATTCTCGTAGCTTCATAACATTACAGTTGAAACACTGAAGTCACATGAGATATTTTAATGATGTCCTTACTACGTTTCTGGGCCTTGAACGTGTCAGTTGCATTGCTGTCTATGCAGGGTCAGAAAGCTCTCGGATTTCATCAAAAATATCTTAATTTGTGTTCCGAAGATGAACGAAGGTCTTGCGGGTTTGGAACAACACGAAAAGCTGAATTTTCATTTTTGGGTGAACTATCCCTTTAACTCTCCTTTCAAGAAATTGAAACTGAACTTTATCCACATGGGCAAAAGTTTAGAGCCACCCCTATCTTTTTCTACAATATTATAATTATAATGTGCATGCACTACATAAGAAGTTGTTTGTCATGTATTAAAGAGAATTAATTAAAATGAATTGATTATATTATGAATTGAGTTATATCAATTCTATTCTATTATAATTAAATTATAAAATAGCAATTTCCAATATTATTCAAATGGATATTATTAATATTCATAGGATGGAATTCGTAATTATTTAATTTATTATTATTCAAAAAGTCAAGTTATTTATGCAGAGAATTTGTATTAAACTCTTAGGGTTTACAAAAGCACAAGGTACTAAGTTTTTTTGGACACGTACCATGATAATACCATGTTTTTGGACATGTACCATAGTGTTCCTTGAAGTGCTTTGGAATACTGCAAATACCACAGAATATAAATATGATTGTCATCAGTATATACCGCCATACTATGTTAATACCATCTGCTACAATCATCTTACCACTGTAATGCCACAGTACTTTTGTAAGGAGCCATCTTGGTTGCCTATTCTGTCTCCCCATTTCTTTACTCTGTTATATCTCTTATTTAACAGTTCTGCTGAATGAGCATCTGTGTTAGGTGTTTTTCTCTCTATTCTGGGCAGAGGAGGTGAGGATGTTAATGCAATCTCAGTTTCAGAGCTGACGCTTCTCGAAAGCAAGAACATGTAGGGCAGCCAGTGAAGTATAGTAGATACCGTGGACTCCTCTGCCACGAGACCCTCTGGGACCGCTGAACTGCACAGCTCCGATATCATTTGATGTCTCCTTCCTGCCCTCTGCTGTAGGAAATTTCAATGAATTTCAATGAGATTTCTATTCATTACCGCAGGCATTGTTGCGCTGACATTTTGGATTCAATGCATAATTTAAATGCAGGGTTTCAATGTTTTGGATTTGTCTATTTTTAGACCGGTGGCTGTCTCCCTTGTCTTGCTTTGCTGTCTGGTTCCACAGCCTATGCAGCGGGCCCTCGATTTCCACTCATTAGTGATCCATTGGTTTCCTGCATGACTGTGTACACATTCATGTGTCCTCGTAGTTCCAAGGCTTATTGCATTGCTTGGAGAAACATGGAGTAACATGGAGTAGATGGTGTTTTCATCATGTGGATCTTCCTTATTATCGTGTGTATTTTGTATAATGGCATCTATGCTGAAATATAAAGGGGTGTTCACACTAACAGTGAGTGATCTGCGGTTGGAATGATTCATTAGCAATGAGAGCAACAGGAACTATAGTTGAAAAAGTTTAATGGCATGTAAATAATCAGTCATACATTAGGCTATCCAGCAGCAGGAACACTTACTATCGGCAACACTTACTTATCAGTGCAGCTGATAAGCTTGTATCTTTGAGTTTGGCATTCATTATTATGACACTGTCTGAAATACTTGATTCTGATTGGTCAATCGCAGTATTCTGAAGTCAGTTATTCCCTGATTAAGACTGTAGTCATTAGAAATGCTGTATAACAGACCACTCCTATCTGAAGCCAGCGCTTCTTTCATGTTTGTTGTATCACACCATGGACTCATCCTCTCATTTTAGCCAAACGCAGCCGGTGCCGATGGTGTTTTCATCATGTGGATCTTCCTTATTATCGTGTGTATTTTGTATAATGGCATCTATGCTGAAATATAAAGGGGCGTTCACACTAACAGTGAGTGATCTGCGGTTGGAATGATTCATTAGCAATGAGAGCAACAGGAACTATAGTTGAAAAAGTTTAATGGCATGTAAATAATCAGTCATACATTAGGCTATCCAGCAGCAGGAACACTTACTATCGGCATAAAATTTCTTGCTGCCTTCAAGTGCAGCTGATAAGCTTGTATCTTTGAGTTTGGCATTCATTATTATGACACTGTCTGAAATACTTGATTCTGATTGGTCAATCGCAGTATTCTGAAGTCAGTTATTCCCTGATTAAGACTGTAGTCATTAGAAATGCTGTATAACAGACCACTCCTATCTGAAGCCAGCGCTTCTTTCATGTTTGTTGTATCACACCATGGACTCATCCTCTCATTTTAGCCAAACGCAGCCGGTGCCATCTTACAGCTTAGTTATAGTTATTGATTGTATTGAAAATAAAATCGGAGGACTTTAGTAATAACACTACTGTAATATTATTTCAGTGTTCTTGCCAGGATGATTGTTTTTTTACATTGCAATTGATTATTAGATAGGTATGGATACGTTTTTTTAAACTGTTTTATCTCAAATCCATATTTCATGTCTGCTTAATTATTTATGTGGTGAGAAGCCATGTAATAAGTGGTTCTCATTTAAATGTTGATTTTGTTTGAAGTTTGAACTGGTTCATTCATCTTGCCTCAAAGCCACTTTTCTTCATTGAAGCTTGGCGTTTAGTGAACTAATAAAATATTTAAACTCAGTAAAATCAATATTTTGTGTCTAGTTATTGACTTACAGTTTATGGCAATAATATTTTCTATTAAAAACAATTTTGTGCGCTGTCAAAACATACTGTACTATTAAAAAAAAACAACTCCAGACTTCCCCAATCCAAAAAATCATTGAAACTAGGCTGCAAAAAATGACTTGTTCTGAAATATTTCGATTTCTGATGACAGAAAACTATAACATTTACATGCAGTTACACATCAATAGCCCCATTTCCATTAACCTTCAAATTGTGCAAATTGCGAATTGAAAATACACCCAATGGAAACACGTAAATTTCGCAAAAAAATCCCATATATCGCAAAAACGTTTTTATCGAATTTTCAGGCAATTCTATAAAGAAATATTTTCAAAACTGCAATGGAATTTTTTTTCACATTTTCAGGTCATCTGGAGTACATAAGTCACATTATCGTTCTTTAATGTAATATATACTAAAAAAAAACACCTCATATGTGGCCGCTTACACAAGCATTGACTACACAATGCTTGTATAAAGGGCTTTCCTTGCCATTTAAGGTTGGATAACCCCTTATTTACACAGCACACATCTACGGTGCATTATGACTCCAGCACGGCCACTAGAGCTGATTGCGGCCACTCAATGCTCGTGTTTATACCAGCCGTGGCAAGTTTCAGAAGCGGCTCTCTGAGCTGTTTTGCAAAAGATACACACCTACGTGTCCTTCAATTAAAATTAATGGCTGGTGCGGTGGGTGCGATTATACATAAATCTACTAACATCCATCGCCATGACTTATCATGAGAGGGAAAATGTCATTTTAGTCGCATAACATTGGTTAATGGAAACGCTGTCATTCCGCAACAGTTTTTATCGACATATATAAAATATTGCAAAAGTTTTGCGCAAACCTGAAATGGAAACCCGGCTAGTGTTGCCTTTTTGGTGTCTCACCCAGTCATGGTGATGTAAATAATTCAGATAGATGCTGTTTAAATGAAATTAAAATTAGTTAAAGGAATAACTAATGATAACTGTAAAAAGGTGTAGCACCTACAGCTCTGCATATTCTTCTGAAAAAAATCCAACGTTAGTAAAATATTACTTATATGAGAGTTTATTTCTAACAAGCCGTCTGATCATTTTAGTCCAACTTTAACATCTGTGTAGCACATACAGAGAATGTTTACACAAGTCTCACAGTAGTACTTTTTATTTTTATTATTTTTTCATTTTTTTAATTATGAGGGCCAGATAAAATGTGTAGAAAATGGTCAAAAGCTTGACTATTATTTATAAGTGGACCTTAGGGAACAAGTAAAAAAAAAACTCAATTATACAATGACAATTATCATTCAAGCAATATCTATATCAATATCTAGGCTGATAAACAATAAACACTTTGTGTGCCAAGGTAATGTTTTTTTTTCATCCACACAGCTGCTCATGGAGGAGAATGAATGCTTGAAACTGGAGCTCTCCAAAGCCAAGATGGCGCTAGCGGAAGCCCAGATGGAGAAAGACTCTCTCCAGCATCAAATGAAGACCCTCAAACTAGCCGGCAGGGGCAGCAACAGCTAGTGGCAGTGCATGTGTGTGTGTGTGTGCGTATAGGACTGACACCTGCCATGGGGGGGCAGCAGAGTGCTTGGAGGGGCCCGGCACCATAAAAAATCCCAACTCTGCAGCCGAGAAGAGGATGGTATATGTGCCGTGACGGTGATCTCACCTCGGGATCTTAAAGAACAGTGTTCTTTACTATAATATACACACAAAGCTTTAGCATCAGAATAAATCAAGTGAAAAGACTCTTCGGACAGCCTGTGGAATTTCACAGATGTTTTGTTGCTCTCTTCCTGTTTTTATTATTTCTTTCACTTCATTAATTTGTGTGTCAGCGAGCATCCCTTAAATTACCATGGGAAAGTGTAAAGGGGTGATAAACTCACATTCTCACTCACTATCTCTCTCTCTATAACCATTCTTACGCAGTGTAGGAGCACATTCCACCCTTGACCTTTAACCCCAGAACAGTCTTACACACTTAGTGTCAGGGTGTGTGATGTTGAATGTCATATCTTCGGAGGAATGTCTTAAAAAATTAATTTGCACTGTTTCGAACTCTTTTGTTTAACAATAACAAAAAAATTATAATATTTAGTGATTAATACATTTATGATTATGTATAGTAATTGTGATACACAAGAATGTTTTGTTAATAAGTGCGATTTAATTGGTGGTCAAAATTTACCTTCATTTTGTTAGCATCTCAAAAATGGGAATATGTTTTCAGAATTATATTCACAAACACACTACAGGATTTGCATTGCACGACTTGATTTCTCTTACTATATGGACAGATTTTGTGTTTTGCTTTGATATTAGTTAAGTATTTGCAACTAAAAACATTGTCATTCCATGTTTGTCTTTTTATGTGAATATTTGCACTGCAACAGTCAAAATATTAGTTTAATTATTAATTTACAGGGGTTGTTTCTGTTAAAATACCATTCAGTCTGAACATGGAATGTTTAACTGATGCTTTGTCACATTGTTGATCTGATTACCAGCTTTTCTGCACAAAAAAAAAAAAAAACGGATGGATGGATGTTGGGTGAAAACCACTCAACTGATGAATGAAATCTAAGAGTTTGTATTAGTTCATTTTTGTTTTTGGCTTTTCTTATTTATACTTTAAAAGAGAAGGGCCTGTTTTATGATGAAATATGATGGAAAAAATATTTAAATGTTTTCTTGTATTTGCTTCACTCTCTCTCCTCCCTTTGTTTTCTTCTGGCATGGTTTTTCTCTCTACAGCGGCCTCTACAAGTGCCTGTGACTGCACACCTTCTCCAGAGGTACTGCTTGATTTTTCTCTCACATTTTGTTCTCTAAATGAATGTTTTAATGCTCTTCACAACACAAGCTTCCGTCTGGAGAAAATTTTTCAGATGTTAGGACTTGAACATGGAGAGCTGGATGACAAACACCTGATTGTAGGAAACCAAAACTTTTCTTATGTAGTACTAGGCCACACCCCTATGCCACATTAACCCCGCCTCAATATGTAATAGACACACCCCTTATAGATGGAGACCCACCTCTTTAGCACAAGTGATGAACAATGATGCTCAATCAAGCAAACTTGTGAAGTTGTTATTCCTTGTGTCCATCAGAAGCTGCTGAAGTACTGCGACATCTGAAATAAAACGAGGAATTAAAATGTTCAATGTTTTATTAATGAGTATCAACTCTCCTCTTATTATTTATTTAAATATTTGAGTTATTAAATGATGATCCATATGTATCGGATCCTGTTGGGCTGAAAAATATGCTCTTAATCAATTACCTAGTCATAAAGCTGGCATGAAATGGAAATTCATGCATTTAGAAATATATTTTCTAAACACGTTACTGATGTTATTGTGGAAAAATCATTTTCTGACCTCGCTTTAAAAAAAAAAAAGTTTTATTCTAATATAACTTGACCTTCCTATTAAACATCAGGCTTCTCTCTTTTTCAGTATGTTTCACTCAGATGTATGTCATAATACTGAAGAAACTTGTACGAATTTCTTGGTTCTGTTTAACATAAATTAAAATATTTTTATAAAATGTGGGTAACCAAACACCTGATGGTCCATATACTGACTCCCATATTATGGAAACAAAAATGGAAGCCAATGGGGACCAGCAATTGTTTGGTAGTTGCTGTTCATCCCAAAATTGAAATTTGCTGAAAATTTACTCAAACTCAGGTCATCCAAAATTTTGTATAGTTTGTTTCTTTATGGGAACAAATTTTGAGAAATTTAGCATTGCATCACTTGCTCACCAGTGGATCCTCTGCAGTGAATGAGTGCCGTCAGAATGAGAGTCTAAACAGCTAAAAACATCACAATAATCCACATGACTCCAGTCAAACAATTAACGTCTTTAGAAGCAAAAAGCTGCATGTTTGTAAGAAGCAAATCTGTCATTAAGGCATTTTAACTTTAAATTGTTGCTTCTGGCCTAAATACCACTCCATAATCCATAATAACACTTGGTCCAGTGTATCATGCTTTTACTTCCACAATGTTTTGACATTTTCTACATCAACTTTTGACTTTTTGGAAGATGAATCACTTTTGATAGGTGCTACTTAAAAGGTCACTTTTCTCCTAGGTTTCCAAAAAAAGGTCTCAGTCTGTGTAATCTCCTTTTGGTTTGGCTTCACCTCTGTACAACCTCAATCTCATGTGGTACTCTCATGAATTGTAAAGTCAGGCCCACAAGCGTGTGTGTGTGTGTGTGTGTGTGTGTGTGTGTG